AGTACCAGAAAATATGCAACTCATTTACAGTTTCCGCTGCAGATTTTTGGAGGGAAATTATTTTATTTTTTGGGGGTAAGGCGGTTCTTAGACCTATCCCGGGAAATCTAGTCTACTATATAATGAGATCATAAATAGCCCTGGAAACATTTTCTGTCTTGCATCAGCTGTTCATTTTTAATACGTGACACGGTAGCAGTCTGGAGTTCACCAGGGCTTTCCGCATCTCCGTTTCTGCAATTTCGAGTTTGCTGCTGCCCCAGATACCCCCCCCCACCACCCCCCACTCCCGGGTCGGCGAAGTCACTCGGTTGCTCCTCAGCCATCTCCCGCTCCTCCCATACTGGTTTTGCCTCCTGTTCTTCGTCCTCTGGACCCCGAGGTCCTTCGCTTCGTCATGCTGGTGGACCCGTCTGGCCAGCACCCTCCATTATTCCGCATTTTATCGGGTGCTTTAATTACGTGGACCGTTTCCAGTTTTTCTAGCTGCCGTGTTGCCCTATCTGCTCCTGCTTGTCATGCTCTATAACTTCTACTGTCAAACTCTCCCGGTCCAACACCGGCTCCCCGTCCTGGGCGCCGTACTGCCACCATGATAGATGTTCATGAGCCACCTCCACCTCATACATCCTATAATTATCCCTCTTACTTGTGTTGTGGTTTCCAAACCACCTTTTTTTGCATTGCCATTTTGGTCAGCTTGTTGCCCATACGTGCCCATGCCTTGTCCTTCCCTCTATCCGGCCCGATCCCCTGGGATCCCGAATGGCCGCAGGAGAAATAAGGCTTCCTCTACAATGCCGCTATTCAAGTGCACAGTGCAATTAAGGCACATACTGTTACGTCCAGCCTCTTCTCACTTGAGCTCTCCTGATTTTCTTTTGGTCATTGTCCTGTCCATAACTCCCCCTCTCACTGCTTCAGTCACTTTTTGCACTTTCGCCGCAAAAAAACCCCTTTCTTCTGCCAAATGTGCATCCAAGGACTCCATGTCGAATCGATACCTTCGCTCAGGGCAGGTCTCGGATAATAGCCTGTATAATCAAGAGTTCTTGGGTTTTATGGGCACTTCATGCTATCCGTAGTCTTTAAGATCAGACCCCCCCATTCTACTCTCACTGACACCTTCCCATGATGCAGTGCATCCTGTCTTTACTTCCCGTGTCACTGATTTACAGTTTTCACTCACTTCTCTTGACTCAATCAACCCCCTTCTCGCTCGTCTGGTGATGCACAGCCCCATTACCGTGAACACGGACATCACCGCAACCTCTCTCCCCTCCACTGCCCTTACCACCTCTGGCGGTATAGACTCGTACAAATTTCCTTTCAATTTCATTAACTCAGGACTGTAACCCTGGACACAGGAAATAACCTGAATCCCAACACCCACAGAACACTCTTGGTTAACACTGGCACAGACAACAATGCAACCAGAAACCAAGCAGCAACATCACACCTTAAACTCTCTGTGAACCTAATTACTGTCCCCATGTACGACCACCTTAATCATTTCCAGATTTTCCCATGTCAACTGGTTTTCAGTTCCTGCCAGAAACTTCCAGGCTTCACTGGACAGGTTAATGAAACACAGAGCTAAAAAAAAAAAAAGAAAGGCCGACCATAAGGTCCAGCAGCACGTCACCGCACGCTGCCCGGCGGTAACGGGCTCTTGGACAGGCGCGCCAAACGGAAGACGGGCTGAGCCGCCTGTCAGTAATGGCCTCTGGAGCAGACAGCCAGGTAGGTTCATAACCGCTATCCCCTCCACCGCCAGACGCGGAATCACAGACAGACGGGCTGTACCACTCCTCCGCAGGCAAGAAACACACACAAAAAAACACACGTTTGAGGGCCAGGCAGGTTCCCCGCTCACCATTACTGTCTGTCAACACTGCAGATGGACAGACCATCTCCAGCAATATTCTAGCCGAGACCGCAAGCCATGTCCTGACAGACAGATTTAAGCCCTGAAGGGTTTATTTTTTTACTGACATATAAAGTTTTTATTAATACACAGTTGCACAATCATAACCTCAACAACCAAGTGCTATCCTTCTAGCAGACACTAAGCAGAAGGTAACGTACCAGCATCAGAGAAACATCCCACCAGCAGCAACTACCTTTCGTCCTTCAGTATTCCTATTGGTTTCTTGTGTACAGGGTATTTTTGACATTCCCTAAGCAGCCAATCAAATTTAAGCAAAACAATAGGCCTAGGAGTAATTTTTTTTCAGACTTGTGTCAGCTGTTTATGGTACGCCGCTCTCACCTCGCCTCAGTCCCTATTCCCAGTTTATGGTGTCCTTAGGGACTGGGGACTAACATCCTCACACCGACGAGCAGGTTCAGTCCCTCAGGTTTAAGCGCAAGGCATCATTTTTGATGTCTATACCAAGCAGCTCTGTATGCAACAAGTGGACGAGCCACATTGGTCTAAGACAGTATTTCCCAATCCAGTCCTTGGGGACCCACAGACCATGTTTTTGCTCCCTAGGGAGCAAAACGTGGACTGTGTGGCAGGTAGGTGGGAGGAAGCAAAAATGTGGACTGTGGCAGGGAGCTCAGAGGGAGCAAAAATGTGGACTGTCTGGCAGGGAGCTCAGAGGGAGCAAAAATGTGGACTGTCTGGCAGGGAGCTCAGAGGGAGCAAAAATGTGGACTGTCTGTGGCTCCCCAAGCACCAGATCTAAGACACTTCTACGAGCCATACAGACTAATAGATCACTGTGTACACTCTGGAATGCATTAATTTATGTGACATACATATGATATTTTTGTCACCACAGTTTGACTTTGTTCTTGTTTTGCAGATTTCTGGATATATTTATATCATGCACTACCACTCATTCAGTAATGTAACAGTATTATTTTGCTGGTAATACTAATTGTCAAATATTAGTATATTTAAAAAAAAAATCAAATGTCATTACACGAATAGACTGACCTTTAGTGAATTCTTTTGAGCTTGTCTAATGATTTTATTAACAGTCGCTTAAGCAAGGCTTTTAAAACTCTTGAAATACTGCTTGTCATTCAGAGCATATGAGTAAGAATCGTATTTGAAAACATTAATTTCTCTCACATTCTATTTTGGAAGACAACCATTAGCCAAAATTACACTTTCAATCAGCAAGCATTTTAGCTTTCAATTAAAAAAAAACATGTTATTTGAAATCCATGTACAAAAGTGGTAGACGTCCTTCAAATGGACTGAAATGTGAAAATTACCATGTGGAGGCTGGAAAAGTCAGACCTGGGATCAGTAGCGGGAAGGAAATGGTTAATTGTCCTGAGACAAAACGTGTCTTTAAATATGTCATAAAAAGCTAAAAAGAAATGTTTTTTTTACTCTTCCTCATCTATATTTTTATCTACAGATACACATATAATTGTATGTGCGTTTTCTAGTATATATTAGATTTCCGCCTTTCAGAAATTGACAGAAATAATTTGTTTACCTCACCTAATTAAGGTTTACCATTTTTTAAGTATTTTGATTTAGAAAACTCTCCCCAACAGTCATCAAACTGCAGGCAACTATAGGGCTGTCAGATATCACTGAAATAGTTTTAAGTTTCCCAAATCTTTCTCACAATGCCATGTATTTTCAACAGCCAAGACTTAATTATCCTTCCAGCTATAATTTTCTGGAGATAAATGGTTATTTGGCAGTGTGCTTTACCACTCACCTGTGCACCGTTTGCTAAAAATACTTTAATGTAACGTAAACTCTAAATACATCTGACAAGCTACGTGTGATCAGATAAACTAATAAATTAAATAACTTATCAGTATCTAACAACATCTTAATTACTTCAGGTGCTGTAGAGTAGCCCGCCCGAGGATTTATATAGGATCGGTTGACAGCGAGGAACAATGCCACAAGAAAACCGCATTATTAATTATTTTATTTTCTATATAACAAGATGACACGAACTCGTTTCTCTAAAAATTAAAATGACAGGCTGGAAAACAGAGCGTCTGCAGCATAATGCAACACATTTCACGTAACTGTGCGTGTGATTATCTGGAAATGGGGCGAAACGGCTGCGACGATTACTTGCGCACTTTCAGGCAGATCCGAGCAGCAAAACTGCAAGGCGAGCATCTGTCCGACAGTAAATACGATACTTAGGCAACGTGATATCGGTGGAATTAGTTCGTTGCAGGGTGATGAGGAAAATGAAGAAAGAAAGGAAGAAATCATTTTTTATTAAAGCCGAATTGAGATTTTACATGCATATATATGCACGTTTATCACCGCTTAACGAAATGAACCGCAAGGACTCTTCAGAATATTAATTCAAAGTAAGTAAAGATAATCATGTTTCGTTTAGTTTGCTCTAATATGCAAACATATCATGGCGTGACACTGTCATGCATGTTGAATGTACTTATGATCCGTACTATATTAGGGGTATTTTTCCGAAGTATTCTCCGGTTAAATAGGGAATACTGGATCCGAAATTGTTACTCTAAAAAAATCACAAGGGTACATTTTCAGCCGCTTTATTAAGCTTGCAGTTTGTCTTTAAAAATGTGCACTGTTTTCACGTGAATGTTCCCCTTTATAAGTAAATTTGAAAAGGGAACCTTGAAATATTTTATTATGGCAAAAAGAAGTGCAAGTCTTGGGATCTCCCCCGTACGCGACGCTCTTACATACCTCGCTTTACAAAGCAGCGTCTATTAACTGGAGGAAACAGAAGGTGGTCTCCTGGTAGCAATCCCTTCTGATCAGGTTTCGACCCTCATGTATTAAGCCATCGGAGATGTGCAGACCATCGCTTCACGCACAGCCGACATTTATTTAAGGTTATACTAACTGGAAACAGTGTATCTCACGCACACAAAGAGACAGGCACGCACAGTACCTATATAAACATACGGTAAGCTATACATCTCATAGGGTGCTGGACACGCACCGGGATTTACTCGCTAGTCGTCGGGTTTAATATGGGACAGTGGTCGGCGTCATCGGGTCGTTAATACATTACCCAGTGTGAAGTACGGGAGAGCAGTGTTGTCGAGATCATCCAGCACGGAGATCCTCCCAGGTAGGTCTGTCCTGACGAAAAGGAGAAGACGGGACTCCCCCCCTCCTCCTCCGGCCACGCTCCCCGAGCCACCCCCGGTAAAGCTGAACTCGTTCTCCCGGAGTACGGGCAGCGTGGACACGGTCACGGTTTTAACTTCGCACGGACTCTCCGCGTCGCTCTCCTTCTCTTTGTCGTCGTCAGACCTGCCGGCTCCGGCTCCTCCCGCCGCCGCGGTGCTTGAAAGCAGGAGCCCAAGCAGGAGAGCAGTGGCGAGCGCTGGTGCTCCTCTCCTGGCCATCGCGCCGTTTCTGCTGCTTTAAGTGAGAGTCATGAAGCGCTTGTGCGCTTATACCAGCCTCTCCGCTGGAGATGTGGGGTGTGTGTCCAGGAGGCGGCAGCACAGGTGAATTATGCTTTTCCCCCCCTTCCCAATAATTTCACCCACTCCAATTTATTTACCGATCTCCAATTACATTTTATTAAATGCATTATTTCAAAATAATACATTCTTACTACTCATCATTAACTTCACTTAACTTTTGTTCAGTATACTTTACACACCACTCTATATGCATGCAAATGTTTTTATGTATTAGTTTGGTTCCCTAACGCAAAATTATCTAATGCATGTTTAACTCGCATGGATTTATTCTGTTTTAATCGTGACTAATTTGTCCAGCTGTAGCTCAGCCCTGACGGAGATAAGGTGATTTCGCTATTAAATTGTTACTTATTTAATACTCGTGTTTACATGACTACGCTTAAAAAGAACAGTTTTTAGATCTTAATCCATTTTAATCGTCCTTTTTGGAAGGTGTTCAGATGTTGTAAGCCGTAGCTGTATTTTTCACCCCGAGAATTGAGCTACATCTTGCTCTGCTTTCGGTCATTATTAGGTTACGGTGACCGCAACAATCCACTTTCACAGAGCAGCAACAGAGCAGTTACATTTTCTAGTTAGTGAAAATAAAATTAAATGTACCAGTACAGTAAAAATACATTTGCCCTACTCCAGGTAATAACTGGAAAAATTATTCCCACTGTGAAATATGATTCACCATAAAGCACTTTTATCCCTTTTGCAGAAATGTTAGTGGGGGAATGATTATTTAAGCATTTACATACGCTCACATGTCGCGGAGATGAGAGTAGTTCTAGCCTCGCCAGACTTCCAAAAAAGTCTCGCTCAGCTAAGTTTGATTTTTTTTGTGTTGTTCTTTTTTTAATTGTAGAAAACTTTATAATTTATACATGAAGCAGCAGTTCTGGTAACACTCATTATGTATCATATTTCACCATATGATTACATGTCATATTTCAGTACAGACGTGGGGGAGGGGCATAGTTTCTGAAGTTATTAGGTTATTATGGGTGAATTGCGGAAACCCCAGAATTGCACTCCCAGCTTGCATCGCCCTAAGGCTTGCTTCTAGTGTGTCACTTTGATCCATGAAAACGAAAGACAGCAAAATTTAATGAAATAAATATTCCTAATATTTAAGCAATTTCCTGCTGTGAATTAATGATAAACATTGTGCCTGGCCTAGGTTGTTACATTTTTAAAAATTAATAAGAATTCATATAAATGGCTTTCTGGCCAGAGTGCAGGAATAACGTTGAGCATAGCGGTAGGTGCCTAATTAAACCAGGGGTACCGCAATCTTACAGCATTACAGGTCATTAGAGAGTGAAACTGCACTGGAGACCAGGAAAATGCTGGAACCCCAAGCTGATATACAGCAGCATTCAAAAGTTTGGACACACCAAGAGGCCAACAACGGAGGGCGATATTGTCGCATCACATGACCTAACCCTAAACACAGTAGAAATGGTTTTAGAGGAGTTTGACCAGAGAGCGAAGGAAAAGCGTCCAATGAGAGCTCAGCATATATGTGGGACCTCCTTCACGACAGCTGGACAAGCATCCCAGGAGGCCATCAAACTGGTGTAGAGGAGACAGTAGGTCAGCCAGTCCCTGGGGCACCTGGGGTTAAGGGTTCAGTGGTGGGATCACTCTGACGACCATGGGATTTGAACAGACATGACTGATACTGTACATGAAGAGCCACAAGACATACTCAAGAAACATACCCAGTACTCAAGAACTATAATCAGTACTCAAGAAGTACACCCATTACTCAAGAAATACACTCAGTAGAGCACTGCACGGGCCTGAAATGTCATCCTGAACCAGCCCCAACCTGAGCCTGAATATTAAAGGATTTTTTATCTTGAGCCCGACTTAAATCTGACGCCAGCTTTTACGATGTGATTTTGTGTAGGCTCAAATATGCAAACACATATAATAAACACACAGGTGCACTGTCTTACACACAAATGTGATGTTTCAAAGGCATATCTAGGCAATTAGCATCTTAGCATAACAAATACAGAATAAAGTCATGACACTTCAATGACCTCGAAGCCTAACCTGAATCTGCCAGTGGGCTTGAGTCTCGTAGGGCTTGCAGATCCCTAGCACTCAGTGCTCAAGAAATACACTCAATACTCAAGAAATAAGTACACTAAATACCAATGCAATACACTCAGTACTCAAGAAGTACACTTAATACTCAAGAAGTACACCCGATACTCAAGAAATATACTTAATACTCAAGAAATACACTCAGTACTCGTTTCTTACAGTGACATTAACAATAATAATTATATCTTTATTATTATGAATGAATAGCTAGCTAGAGTTGTAACAGGATTTCTGTGGGATATTGCATTAGTGTTGGTTTGATTCTGAGACATGGGATAGCCTTGTACTCTCAATAGCCTTCTTGTTTTATTAAAACCACTGGAAACCATTAAAGTAACCAATGGGACCTGGATTCAGTCCATCAGTGACCGATGGTAGGCAGTAATCCCACCCACAGGGGTTTCCAAGTCTCATCACAACAAGAAACCATGTATTTATAAACCATAATATTAATTTCTGAATGTGTGGGCGAGTAACACATTACAAGAAGCACAAGCTAGTATTTATAATACATGAAATTATAATACAGTGGTTTTTCCATTATCCACAGTTTTTCTTTCTGCAGTTGAAGTTATCAGATGAACTATTACTGTACTGAAGTATTTGTGTTCCAGTAAACCCTCCCCCCCCTTTTTTTTTTTTTTTTTAAATAAAAAACTTTATGTAAAATATCAATACTAACGGGGACCTGGGGATTGGTCCTTAGTTTTTTTTTTCTTCTTCATTTAAAGCTTTAGTATATATAGTATCTATAAGGTTTGGTATGATCTGTGGTTTCAGGCATCTGCTGGAGGTCTTGGAACTTGGATAAGAGTGGACTACAGTATGAAGTACATATAATATATTAATCATTCATTATACATCTATCCATCCATCCATCCATCCATATGTCCTTGCCAGAGGGTGAGCGCGGAGCCCATCGCAGGCAGCCTAGGGCATAAGGCTACACCTGGAACAATACACTTTTTAAATAATGCTAACATTTTACTTGTGCAAGCAAATGTATAGTCACCCTTTGCTAGTGTCTGTTTCATGGAATCATTTACGGTAGCATCACGGTTTTGCATGTTCTGTGTCTTTTGTTTTATGCTTCATATCGTGTTTTAAGGAATGTAAAAATTGTTTTTAAAATTAGCGTGTACCAATATAGCCACGTGCCCACAGCCCCGGTCCAGGATCATGGCCCCAGCGTGTCCCATGGGGCTGTGGGCTTCTGCGTGACGACATGCTTACAAAGGCCTTCCTGTCTGTGCCAGGCCATATTGCCGCTCGTATTTTCCCACGGTGCATGGATGAGTAAGACACCCCAGGTAATATCGCGGGCATCGCTTACAAATGGCCAGATCCTGTTGTCTTTTCTGTCTGCATTTTCACATGGAGACCAAAGCCCTCGAAAATATCTCATGACATGCGAAGCACGAACGTATCAGATTAATGGTAGGACACGTCACAGGACGAAAATACGTAAATATCAGTGTTTTTCTAGTTAGAATCCTAGGCCTCCACTGAAAGCTGACCACAATGGAAGCTTGGTTTCCTGCCAGAAGATATTATTTAATGCCATGTGCTTCTACAGCTCCTATTTTAACAGGAGAATAAATAGTGGATTAAGAATACGGCACATGTCAGGAGATAAACAGCCTCAAGTCGCACTGCAGAATGAGACTTCAGAATCCCGCATTACTGAAATACACACATTTAACACGAAACTAAAGTGATTAAAAATGGTCAAAGCACTTGAGCCGCCAGTAATGTTACTGCGAACAGAATAAATGCATCTTTTTAAAGAAACATAGCACTCAAAAGGCCCATAATTGCTTTTAAGATATTAGGCAAAACAGTTAGAGTGGGCGAAACATGACAGAACATTTTAAGCACACCTCGCTAACTGTGTCTCTCTCCCCCCCTCTTTGAGAGCTCTTCAGCTATTCCTCACTTGACACTCGAGGTGTGAAAGGTGACGGTTTTTCTTTTTGCAGTGGTATTAGACACACACACACACACACACACACACACACACACATACATATATATATATATATATATATATATATATATATATATATATTTAATAATGGTTTTGCAGCCTTAGCTGTGTTAATATAGCAAATATAAATGAAAATCTTGCACACCTTAGTGCATTGATTTAACAGTTAATGCATAGACCGCACAGGCATGTGAACATTAACTAGGATTTTCCAGTTAATGTTATTCTGTAATAACCTGAGCAAAACTGCAGTTTGGGATCGCAGGAAGGTTGCGTATTTGTTGCTGCAACGCAGGAGGGGGGAACGTGGAAGTGGAGCAGAGGGTCCAACGGGCTGTGAGTGGATGGATTGAAAACACAGCGTGCGCAGCATTTGATGCGCCTGGCCATGCACGTCGAGCGCGGGCGGCGGACGTATGCTCTCGCCCGCTCCCTCCACAGCTCTCCCTGGTGCTCCTGGCCCAGCGCCACGGGGAAGACGTCCCCCGCCCTGGCCGGGCCGCTGAGACCCCACTGGCTCCCGTGCAGTCTGGCTGCCATATCGCATTTTCCACCCGCCGGGCCAGGATGTTCGTTCAGCTGCCGGTCAGATGGAAACGTGGCTGGCGAAATGGGACGGCGCTCGCATGAAATGCGTTGCGACGGAGAGCGTTCAGCACCGTGGATAGCTTCGGGGACCGTTCCTTAATCACCCCCCCCCACGGCTCTTGATTCCGCAGCTGCATCGCACAGGGTTCACCCGAGGACAGCGCTGAGGCTCGTTAGCCGCAGGGGTCTGGGGACCCGGAGACTCGCTGACCTTCTCGTTTGCACACACCCCTGTCCCTGGCTCCAAAGTAAGGTCCATCCTACTGGAGACTCACTGGGGGCGTGGAGCCAAGACGACAGCTCACATCCTGCTCTGGATGGGAGCGCA